CAAGTTCATAGAGAACTACCAGAAGTTCAAGCTGGATTTAGAAGAGGCTGTCTTCTAGGTGGTATAGCACTGGTCTGTGCATTGCTGTACAGAGGTAACTCATGGTTGCTGTGATGCTGAACACTGTGACACTGATGTGCCAAGTGTGATAATGGTTACCCATGGCAGACAGTGTTTACTGGAGCTTCCCAATTAAACAAGCCTGGAAGCAGGAGTGGCATCCACTTCTGAAATGACTTGCCTCCGGATACTCGAACAGTGCTTAAACCTTTCATTCATAGGGTCACTATGAGTTGTCTACAACTCGACAGCACCTAACAACAACAGTGTTTCCTTGCTCTGTTTAGATAACAGCTTCTTAGATTAGGTATAGATTTTCTTCTTAATGTTATCCATGATTTGTTCTAAACCACACAGTCAAATGCCTTTGCGTAGTCAATAAAGCATAAATAGACATTCTCTGCTTCCAGGCAAGATCCATCTGACAATCAGCAATGACCTCCTGGTGGCATGACATCTTTTAAACCCATCTTGAACTTCTAGCAGTTCTCCATCAATGTTCTGCTCTAGGCCAATGGAAAGTGAAAGGAACTGTTCTAGGAAGAGGAGAAATAGAGAAGAAAGGAAGCCGAGTGGGGAAGGGATTGGCCAGTCCCACTGACAAGGCAGAGCAAAGTTCCCTGGACACTACCGAAAACCCTGGGGACAACATGGAAGGGGAATCCACAATAGCATCGTAGCAAAACACAAGCTTCACAGCCAGAGAAATGGAAATTATGAGTTCACTGAGACGAAAAGTGGATCTTGGAGGGCAAGAATCTGACCACTGAATCACAATTGCCCTCCTTAACATCCAGTAAGCTGCTTTGTGATATGGTGTATAACATGCTGGGTTGCTTGCTAAATAAATGGTTGGTGGTTCAAATCTACCAGTCTCTCCTTTGGAGAAATGTGAGCTGTCTCCTCCCATAACAATTTACAGTCTTGGAAAATTGATAGAAGGTTTCTAGGAGTTGGAACAGACTCAGCAGTAGTGGGTATTTAGAGTACATAATTTGGTAAATTCTTCATTATGTACACACTTATGGAACCATCTGCAATTAGAGACCTCTCCAAATTATTGAGGAATAATAATGTTAGTGTGAGAACTAAGGTGCATCTGATTCAGGTCATGATCTTTCCAATCACTTGCTATGCATCTGGGAGCTAGACAGTGAATAAAGATGACAGAAGAAGAATTGATGCCTGTGAGCTGTGGTGTTAAAGAAAAGCATTGAGCATCCCATGGACGATCTAAAGAACAAACAAATATGTCTTGGAAAGGGTACAGTCAGAGTGCTCTTTGGAGACAAAAATTATGAGACTTTGCTTCACATACTTAGGACATGTTGCTAGGAAGGGCTATTCCTTGGAGAAGGACATGATGCTTGGAAAGGTAGAGGGTCAGTGAAGGAGAAAAAGACCCTCCACCGGATGGATTGACAATGGTGACTACCACCATGGGTGTAATGTGTCAGAAAGTGTGAAGACGGTACAGGACAGGACAGGGTTCAGTTCCCTTGTTCATAGAATTTCTATGGGTCATACTCAACTTGACAGCACCTAACAACAACAGTATGAAACCATAGCCAAAAGGAACACATACATGGAACACCCACAAAACTCTGCTTGTAGTTCTTCATTTTCCCTCCTTCTCCTTCCCGGACAGTTACTAATCTTTCTGTCACTATAGGTAAGTTTGCTCTTATTTTTTTTTTTAGAACTTTATGTAACTAAAATCAAGCAATGTGTACACTTTTTTCCTAGTTTCTCTTACTGTGTCTCATTATTTTGAGATTCAGTCATGTTGTTAACATATATGGATGGTTTCTTCCTCTTTGTGGCTGTATAGTATTCCACTGTATGGATACCCATTGTGGATATGTACCTATTTACTTGACAGATATTTAAGTATCTACAATCATATGGTATGTACTTTTTATGGCCCAGTTTCTTCCATTCAGTAACATTATCTTGAGATTCAATCCTGTTGTTGCATGTATCTATGGTTCATTTCTCTTTGTGACTAAGTTCTGTTCCATTGTATGCTTGAGTATCTGGTATGAATATGTATCCATTCATTTGACAAATATTTGAGTTGTTTGCAGTTTGAAACAATTACAAATAAGACTATTACAAGCATTCACACACAGATCTGCATTAATACGTGGTTTCATTTCTATTGGGAAAATACTAGATTATATGATTATTGTTATGTGTGGTTGAGATGGAACAGACCCATAGCTGATCCTTCAGTGAGTTTTCAGAGGCAGTAAGTCACACAGAAGGGTATTGCCTGTCTTTTTCCTGAGAAGTAGCTGATGGATTTGAACCATGTACCTTTAGGATTGCCGTGCAGCCAGCTTCTTATCTCTGGGCCACCAGAGCTCCTAGCTCATATGGCAGGTGTATTGTTTAACCTCAAATACACTGTCAAAATGCTTTCCAAAGAGCTGAACAGTTTTAAATTCCCTTCAGCCATATATAATGATTACAGTTTTTCCACATCCTCACCAATGCTGGGTATGGTCAGATTTTCTAAATTTAGCACTTCTAACTGGTGTTTCAGGGTATATCATTGGAACTTTCATTTCTATTTCTCTAACAAGTAGTGAAAGAGCTCTGGTGGCCTACTTTGTGGGAAAATGCATGACTAATCTAAAGATTGTGCTTTTACTGGGATTTGAATCACAAAGCAGCACTTTGGGGCAAAGATAGACAATCTTGAATCTTGTCTTCTACAATTGATAGCCTCAGAAACCCTTTGGAGGATCAACTATGAGTACAGGTGGCAATGAGTTTGAGCTGAGAATGACTAATGTTGTTACACATCTTTTTTTAAATACACTTCTCATTTGTTTTTGTGAGTATACTCTTTGATGCAGCACATGCTCAAACACTGCCTATTTTTAAATTGCCTTTCCTCTAATCATTTTATCATTTGAGCTCTTACATCTCTGTAGTTTGACCCATTTTTAGTTAAGTGTACAGTACAATGTCAGAATCCAAATTTATTCCTTTGCATTTATGCAGTTGTCCCAACATGGTTTATTGACAAAACTTCTGGTTTTTTTCCTCAGTGAATGATCTTGACACCTTTCTTGAAAATAAGTTTTTAAAATCTTGAAAATAGATGCTTGTGTCTATTTCTGGATGCCCAGTCTTATTTGTTAAACTATTTATCTCTCTTTATGCCAATATCAGACTATCTTGATTGCTGTAGCTTTGTTAAGTTTTGAAACTGGGAGTATGAATCCTCTAAATTTGTTCTTAAAAATCACTTTGCCACCACAACAAGATAAAGGCAAATAACCCAATTGAAAAAAATGGGCACAGGATATGAACAGACATTTCACCAAAGAAGACATTCAGATAGCGAACACATGAAGAAATGTTCAAAATCCCTAGTTCGAAGAGAGATGCAAATCAAAACAACTATATCATCTCCCACCAGTAAGAATAGCAAAATTTAACAGAACAGCAAATACCAAATGCTGGCAAGGTTGCGGAGAAACTGGAACCCTTACTCACTGTTAGTGGGAGTGTAAAATGGTGCAACCACTGTGGAAGGCAGTATGGCACTTTCTCAAAAAGTTGCAAATAGAAATACAATTTGACCCAGAAATTCCACTACTGGGAATATACCCTAAAGAAACCAGACCTACCACCCAAGCAGATATATGCACATCCATGTTTATTTGGCTTTGTTTGCAATATCAAAGAGTTGGATAAAACCCAAGTGCCTGTCAACAAATGAATGGATAGAGAAGCTCTGGTATATTCACACAATGGAATACAATGCTGCACTGAAAAACAAGCAACTCATGAAATATTATGCAAAATGGGTGACCCTGGAGGACATTATGCTGAGTGAAATGTCCCAGTCACAAAAGGACAAATATTGCATAGTGCCACTGTTTTAAAACGAGATTGACATCGGGGTTGGGGAAAAACTAAGAGGGGATAAATAATGTATACTGCATTGAAACAGATGAGGGAGAGAACTGTTTAGGAGGACTATATGATTACATATTATTGTCATAACAAGAGTCCAGAATGAAAGCTGCATAACGGAATGGACTGGGGGTGGGGGTGGGGGGTTGTTTAACAATGAACGAATTTTTTTTTTTACTTTTCAAAGAGAAAGTGAACTGGTGGGAAGAGTTGGGCAGGGAGGAAAGTGTGTAACAATGAATGAATGGGAATCCAAAGTCTCTGTAAACTTTAATTTAAAAAAAAAAATCACTTTGACCATATGTCTCAGTCTTTGGCTACATGAGGTAACGTACTCATAGGAACAACAGCAGGTGTGTGTGCTGCCTGCCTCCAAAAAGGGTAAGCCAAAGACGGTTTCCTAGTGTTTCTTTTCCTAAACGGTATAGTTAGAAACGGTTTTAAACAGAAAAATAGGGGCAAGGGTAAAATTAAAGCATTCTTTTATTTCTGAAAAAATAATACTTTGGCTACTCTGCATTCCTTTTATTTCTTTACAAATAAATAGTAAGATTTCAGCAAGAAAATCGTGTTAAGATTTTGACAAAGATTTTCTTGAACCTGTACTTATCAAGCTTGTTAATAACTGAATCGTGGCCTACAAACACATGGTAAGTTCCTGATCCTTGTACCTGTCCCTGTGATCTTGTTTTGTTATGTTAATAAGGCCAAGTCATCATAGGGTGGGTGTTAAATCTATCCTGAATTAGAACACTTCTGAGTTATAAAAAGTCCATGTTAGACACAGAAACACACTCATGGCATGTGAAGATTGTCTACAAACTGAGGGAAGCCAAGGAATCAGGAAACAGCGCAACTACCAAAGAGATCACTGGCATGATTACGACCCACTTGGGTGTGTTTTTTTTTAACTTCCAGAATTAATTATGAGAAAATACATTTCTGTTCTTCAACGCCACCCATTTGTTGCTCTGTTACAGCAGTACTAGGTGACTGAGACAGTCTCCATGAGCATGAGATTTTTGTCCATTTATTTAAGTGTTCTTTCATTTCCTTTGACATTTTTTTTCCAATGCACAGGTCTTTAATTCCTTCCTAAATATTTCATTTGTTTTCTGTACGTGTTATGGTTTTCTGTTTCTCTATTCATTCCTTGGGAGCTCTGGTGGCCTTGTGGTAGGAATTTGCACGGCAATCACAGAGGCTAACGCACCAGCTACTCTGTGGGAGAAGGATGGGCAATCTCCTCCTGTGAGATTTACCGCCTCTACAAACCTACTGGAGGGTCAGCTGTGAGTCCAGTCCAACTCTATGGCACACAATAACAACATTCTTTCATTACTGACTTCTTTTACATTTAATGTGTTTTCTAATGTACCAGTAAAATGCCTTTGTGGAAAGATAGTACATATTTCTTCATATCACTTTCATTTATGTTACTCTTCGTTTTTCTGTGCAAACTTCTATTTCTATCTGATGTCACTTTTTGTCTGCAACACCTTCTTCAACATTTGCTATAGAGTAGGTTTTAAGCTTGTATATGTCTTATGAAGTCTTTATTTTGCTTTTAGTTTGAAATACTTTTCTGTTGGGAAAAATACATTTCTAGTTTTGTTTGTTCTGTCTCCCCAGCCAGTCACCTCTCATCACCTCTTTTCATTTCTTCAACAACTCCTCTCTAAGGTCCTAAGCAATTGCTTATGGCTAAATAATGACGCTATTGCTTTAACTGGGCCTCTTAGGAGCACGAGTCCTTCCTGTCCAGTGAAAGGCCTTTCTGCCTCTGTTTCAGAAGCTTCTGAGCAGAAGAATGAGGATGAGTGGCAGGTGCTACAGCCCGAGGGTCCCATGCGTGTGGCAGAAGGTCAGACACTCCTGCTAAGGTGTACTGTGGTTGGCTCACAGATCGATGACATGATAAAATGGATCAAGGTGAGAAATCTGGACCAGAAGGAAATGTACAACTTCAAACATGGCTTCTTCTCTCGGGTAACACCTATGACCCAAAGGATACTAGGACCACTTAATTGGGATTATTCCATCCATATCCATAATGTCACCAAGGAAGATGCTGGAACCTACCATTGTGTGAAGTTTGATGGCTTGAGTGAGCCCTTGGAAAAGACACTTAATGAAGGCACTTCAGTGCTTGTGAATGGTGAGTCTTAGGCCCTGAAGTCATAGCATTCTGCTGTAATGTATTTCCCTGGCCTGGTCACCGTTAGCTATAATAATGCTATGTGACACAAAATCTTAATAGCATGCATCTCTAGTATATGTTTCATTCTAGGGCCCTGGATAGAGGGGAAGCAACTGTACCAGGAACCTTCTTCTCATAGAGATGTAAGAAACATGAGAGGGCAAACCAATAAGCATAGTTCATTCTCTATCTAGGTGGTGTTAAAGGTTTGCATTTTGCTACTAAACTAAAGGTTGGTGGCTTGAATTCACCCAATAGTACTGTGGATGTCAAGGTGTGGAAATATGTTTCCATCTGCACTGTAGCCATGAAAACCCTTTGGGGTCCCTCTACTCTGTGACATGTGGGATCACTGTGAGTCAGAATCAACTCAATGGCAGCTAACAACAACTCACTGTGTGTGTGGGAGCATCTCGTTTGCTAGAGCAAGAAACATGACTAAGCTCAGGGGCAAGGAAGTGCGCTGTGTGCACAGTGACTGCATGGCAAAGGTATTAGGAGACAGGAGTCAAGAAGAGGGCTATCCAAAGACTTTTCTCATGGTCAGAGCATTGAGACAAGTCTCTCCAGCCCCTGGGGCCATGAGTTTCCCAGGCTTGACTGGGTCTAGATGGTTCTCTGTCTCCAAGGACTGTCTGGCAATGACTTGTATGTATATACGGTGCCCTTCAGATGCTAAGAGTCCAGATCTTCTGGTTTTTAGATTTTTCTAGCTTTGCTTTTTTTCTGATTTTATACCAACTGTGTAAACTAAGATGCATTAAAATAAATACCAGAGTAACTACATAATAATAATAATAGGACTATCAATTTCATTTCTCAAGTTATGGCTTCTAGACTTCTACCCATGCTGGCCTAGATCATGAAATCTTGAGTCCGTTATTTAATACACAAAGAAAAGACTAAACAAAAACTGCAGTTGCAGTGCAGTCAATTCCAGCCCATGGCAGCCCCCTGTGTTGTGCTTCCGAGTAGAACTGCTCCAGAGTTTTCAACGGCTGTGCCAGTGAGTCCCTCCGTAAGTCACTTCAGCTCTATCCGTTTTAATAGGTGAGCTGTGAAAATAGGATGCACCTATTCTGCTTCAAGCCTCATTGAGGTAATCAATTAAAAGAACAGATGCTTGTGAAATCACCTCGTAGACTGTCGATGTGGAAAGTATGTGAGTGTGTCAGAATTTGTCTTAATTTAATGCAAGTATTTTGGAAAGCTTTCCCTGGATACTTCCAAACTCTGACAGCTGCCTCCTCTTAGATCCCACAGTCATTGGGATTTCTGCTCTCGAGGACCTTGTTTTGACTCTGCTCACCACCAGGCTGAGAGTTTAGCCAGGGGGAGTCATTCATCTGTGTTTATGAGCTTCCTTTCCTCTGATCCTAACATTGGCATGTGGTAGTCTCTGGGTGACATTAAACTTCATTTGGTGATTTGAATCCTCCCAGAAACACCTCAGGAGATAGGCCTGGTGATCTGCTTCCGAAAGATCACAACAGTACAATAGTGAATGAATGGAAATCCAAGCTAATTTTGGTTTTTTTGTTTGTTTGTTTGTTTGTTTGTTTTTAAATCTCAGCATTGAAAACCTCTGGAGCGGTTCTGTTCTGTACACAGGGGGTCATCAGGAGTCAGAACAAACTTGATGGTTACCAAGACCAACCACAACATCATTATTCAGAGATTTCTCTTTTTTTATTATTATTTTTCTACTAGTTTATTTACAAAATTCAAATATAAATTTGAACAAGTTCTTTCCATTTCCCTCACCCCGCCCCCACTCATCAAATTGTGCAACCCAATGATTAATCCCCCCGCCCCCTGCACATCCACATCCCTCTGCTTCCAGCCTTTCCCGCCCCTCCTGGATCTTTATACTCATTCTACAATATTTAGCCTTATGAGACTGAGTGAGTTCACCCAGCATAATGCTCTCCAGTCCCTCCCAAGTTAGCTAATAATTTACAAAGTCATTGCTCTCGTGTGCTGCATAGTATTCCATTGTGTGAATATACCATAATTTCTCAATCCATTGGTTTGTGGTTGGACATTTGGGCTGTTACCATGTTCTTGTGATGGTGAATAATGTTGCTATGAACATTAGTGTACAAATCTCAGTTTGTGCCTCAGTTCTTATATTCTCAGTGTATATATTCCAAGTAGTGGAATAGCTGGGTCAAATGGAATGTCTATGTTCAGCTTTTTGAGGAAGCACCAAACCGCCTTCCAGAATGGTTGCACCATTTTACAATCCCACCAACAATGTATAAGTGTTCCTTTCTTGCCACATCCTCTCCAACATCTATTACTTGCTGCCTTGCTAAACTTTGCTACTCTTACTGGAGTGAGATGGTACCTAAGTCAGCTGGTGAGTAATGAGGAAAAGCTGAAGAAGTGGCTGAGTAAGGAAATCAAGGGAAAGGGTGAGGGGTTATGAGGAGATGATAGAGGAAACTCAGCAAGGACCCTCTCTTCACCTTCAGGAGCAGAGGATCCAGGGCCCGATCTCTGGATCATCCAGCCTCAGGAGTCTGTGTCTGTGACCACTGGACATACTGCCTTCCTGAACTGCACAGTACGAGGCAATGGTCCCCTGGGACCCATAAGGTGGTTCCGGGGAACTGGTCTCAACCGGGAGGCCATTTACAACTTTGAAGGTATTTCTCACCCCAATGTGTCAGCAGTCCACACCTCTGACAGTGACTTCAGCATCGTCCTGGAAGGCGTTTCTACGCAGGATGAGGGCACTTACTACTGTGTAAAGTTTCACAGGAGATTCAACCGGCAATATCTGTCTGGTCAGGGCACCAGGCTGACAGTGAGAGGTGAGACATGAAACACAGTGTAAAAGCTGTGATCTGTGACGTGTGAAAACAGTGTGGCCAATGTAGGGGTGGTGGCCTCTGGTCTCCAGTCCACAAGATTAAAGAGGCCCTATCAGCAATAGGCCCCATCACCAACAACACAAGCCTAATTCCTGTGAAGTTAGACACGCCCCATGCTCTCACGGCTTCTTCTGCCCATTTTAACACCTATTTGGGATACTAATTGGTTGTAATGACCATGCAGAACCCACAGACAGTGCTCATGATTATGGAGTTTGTTAAGAAAGTAACAGGTTATAACTCAGGTCAGAAACAATTGGGATACATTCAGGACAGCTTCTCCCTCTGACCTTCAACTTAATCACTCTGGGCCAGGGTTACAAAGCTCTTTTGTCAATGATGGCATCTTTCCACCACTCACTCCACCAATAAACCTAAACCAAATCCCTCTACTCTGACTCACTGGGATAAAAGCAGTCCTGTTTCCGTTCTTTTTCAATCGGTCTCTGGCTCCCCACCTCTTCTTCTCTTGTATCTTGGTCTTGGTCTGTCTTGAGAAGGAATCTCTGGCCCAAAATTACACACTGTACTCTCTGCTTCTTCCTTTTTGATAATATTATGATTATTCTTTTCCATCTCTGAATTTGGTAAATTTAAGTCTGGTGAGATGGCAAAACTGACCAATTCTCTCATTTGTACTCTACACATCTTGTTTGCATGCTCTCCTTCAAAAGATGCTATTAATGTTATTAGCAATCTATCCAATGTCCTTGGTGGGGTCACACACACCTCACACTTAAACAGTCCTATCCAACAACGACAAATGCCAAAGCCAATGGCTAGAAAAGCTGCACTGAATAATCCACCACCGCACATGTAAGGAGAAGGGACTCACAAGGAACTTTTCACTCTGTCTCAAACAGGCAAACTCTTCTCCACTTTAAGGCCTTTACCTACACTCTGCCTGCAATCCCTTTTCCTTTTCCCTGAAAAACTACTTCTCATCCTTCAAGGTCCAAGGTAAATAGCTCCTTTCTGGGAAACATTCTCTTCTTTCTAGGCAAAATAAATCTTTCTCAATTTTGAGCTCTAATTCAGCTTGTGCTTTATACAGACCACCAGTGATTAAACAAGCACTTATTATTGAGTGCATGTGAACTGCCTGTACTGAGCTATGTACTAGAGACAATGAACTAAGGGAGCCATTGTTCCTGTACTAGAGATGTTCAAGTGCAAGGTCTCTGCAGTCCTTCAAAATCACAAGGTTTGCCTTCTGACCCTCTAGCGCAGGCAGAAATGGGCAGACTCCTTTAACCAGAGTAGAAATGAACAAATCCTAGGACAGAGGACTGGGAAATGGCAAGAGGAAAAGGAAAGACGAAATGTGAGAATCTATCTCTCTCCTTGCAGCAAATTCTACACAGGAGACCGAATTCACCGACGGTCCTTCAGGGAGGGAATCCTCAAAAGGTGAGTGTACCTGCTTCCTATGAACTTGACAGCGCCTCACAGACAAAATAGGCCTTGTGTGAAGGGGTCATCCAGAATTCCAGTGACCACCTACCCCCAAAAATTCCCAGAATGCCATCTCAACTACAGAACCAGGGGCCAAAGGACCATGTGAAAACTCAGTCACAAAAAGAATTTTAACAGCCAGAGTTATCCAATTATTCCATGCACTATTTTGTTTGAAAGCTACTTAGCTCCCTATCACTGAGAGCATAAGAATATACTTTGAGATCGTCACTAAGGTGGAGAACATGGCTTGACAACCAGACCATTGAAGTCGTTTTAGCTAGTTGCCTCATTTCCTAAGCCTCTGGTGTAATTCTCTATGAACTGGGAGACATTAAAATCAGAGACTCGTCCTCATGATGTCATGATGTGTAAGCCCAACAAGATCATTCATGCCAAGTGGCCAGAACAGTGCCCAACGTAATGGTGTTAAATCATCAGGTAGGTAAGAAGCTATCAGATTAGCCTCCCTAATGCTCAATCCTGTCCCCATCACTCTTGGGAGCTAGGCCATCAGAGTCATATCCCTTCTTTGATGTGCATATCCCTGAGAAAAATCACTTCCCAATCTAGCTCTATGTTCTCATCTATGAAAGTAGGGTCAATATTATGCTTTGATGGTTGGTATGAAGATCAAATTATATTCTTGGGAAGTAATTAGCTCAGGGCTTGAGAGTGAGGAGCTAAACAACCAATAAATCAAAGGTGCTTGTTTCTTTCAACAGAGATAATATCAGAATGATTGCAGCTATGTAGAGAGGACCTCTTCTAACCCAGGGCAGAGCATAGGGATCCAATCTAGAAAGGCTGAGGTCCCAGAAGTGACAATGTAGTAAGTAGTATAATAGTATCTGGGCTAGAGCTTACTCATGAGTCCACCAACAGGGGACGCCGAGGCATGGAATGTAGGTCACTCACCAGAATTCTGCTTCAGTTTTTCCCTCATCCCTCAGGCCTGCTGACTGCTGTCTTACTTGTGGTCCTGGGGTTGAAGGCAATGATCCTGGCTGCACTCCTGCTGGTCCTGACCATCTGCCGAAGGAGACCTTGGAAAGAAGACAAGATCCCAGGTTCAAATAAAGCTATGCAGGACTTATGATGAGGCAAAGGTTAGGGGTAAATGATCAGTCCCAGATGGGCGTCCTATTAGACAGAGAGGGTCCAGACCTCCCTCTGCCACTTCTTTGCCTCCAGTTCCAGTTCCCAGATACCTGCAAGGTCTCATGATAAACTCCCCTTAGCCCTGTGTCTGGTTTCAATTCTTCTGGTGAAATTCTGATGAGCATTGCACCAGGCTCCCCACTAATGTGTCTTCCTCATTCCTCTCTGTTCCAGTCCTCCTCATCTTTTAAGGAGACGTTGCTCGAGTCTCTCCTCAGAGCCCTCGCTCCTTTTGCAGCTGTTTCAGGAGCATTTTCCTCTTTCTCCCTCTTTCTCCCTCTTTCATATTCCTGGTTTTTCAAGATCCACTACTGAGTCCTCTTCCCTAAATGTTTCCTTGAGCATCTCTGAGCTCAAGCAATAGAACCCCAGTGTGGTCTTTATTGACCCCCTTCTACTTCCTCTTGCTTTCTTGCCTCCTCACTGTGACTGGCTGCGATGGCTAGAAGAATTAGAAAGTAGATTTAACAACTATTCCAAAGACTTCCAATTACTGTGGTGAAAGCCTTGGATCAACAATCAACATCCTTGGTACCAATAGTCAGAAAATCTGAAGATGTATTGTATGTGACAAGTCAGCAGCCAGGGGCCTTCAAAATACTGAAGGGCAGTGATGCATTTGATTCTGACCGTGGTCTTCTCAATCACCTGCTGTGCACCAGAGAGCTGGACGATGAATAAGGAGGACAGAAGAACAACTGATGTCTTTGAGTTATGGTGTTGGAGAAGAGTACTGAATATCCCCTGGACTATCAAACAAACAGACATATCTTGGAAAAGATCCAGCCAACAAGCTCCTTAAAGGCAAGCATGGTGAAGCGTCATCTGGTATACTTTGGGCATGTTGCTAGGAGAGATTATTATTCCTTGGAAAGGACATAAAGCTCAGGAAGCTGGAGTGTCAGCAAAAGAGGGGAAGACCCTCAGTGAGGTGACTGACAGGGTGACTGCATCAATGGGCTCCAGTGTGTCCGAGATGATGAGGATGGCACAGGACAGGGCGGGGTTCAGCTTGGCTCGTTAGGTCGGCAATGAGTTGTACTTGACTCAGCGACATCTAACAACAATGACAAGCCAGAGGGCAGTCCCTACAGAACGTCAGAGTCTAGTCAATTTTATTAACACAAGATCCTCAGCAATGAGACATTTTGAGCTATGGCCCCTTCGGTAGCATCAGCAAGTGAGTAGAGGCGAGGAATGTTGCAAAACATCCTACGATGCACAGGATGGTCTCATACAACAAAGAATTACCTGGCTCGGAGTGTCCAAAGAGTCCCTAGGTGGTGATTGGTGTGTTTGGCTGCTAACTAAAAGGTTGTAGGTTCGAGTACACCCACAGGCACCTTGAAAGAAAGGCCTGGTTATCAAATTCTGACTATCAATCATCAAATAACCCTTGCAGCACAGTTCTATTCCAACACATGGGGCCATTATGAGTGAGAATCGACCTAACAGCCACTGATGGAGATAAAATTATAAAGCTGAGGAGTCCCTGCAAAGCAGAAAATGTCCATGTCCTGGAAATCAGATTTCTCTCTTCCGATCTTAAAGCCCCCAATCCCTTGTCTAAGTCATTTCAACTCCCAGAGTATCAAGAACAATGCTGACATCCCTGTGTTGTGTAAGAACCAGTTCAACATTCACTGAGGGCCTCCTGTGTGCTGTGTATACTGTGTGCATTAAGTGGACGCTGCACCTCTTTTCTCTTTCCATCTATTAACACCCAATATGTGGGGATTCACCTGGGTAGGTTTGGTTATAACCAAGAGAAAATCAACATGATGGGGGGAAACCCTAAGCCAGAGGGAGACATTAAGTTGAGTCTGAGAACTGAGAAATCATTGAGTCTCCAGACATAACAAAGGGCAAATACGGCAAGCTCCCAAAAGACATCCACGTCTTATGTCCCACCTGTGAATGTTACCTCCTGGCAAGGTAACAGTTTTGTCAGTGTGACTAAGTTAATGACTGTGAGATGAAGAAATGTCCTGGACCACTGCTATCCTCTAAAGGTGGTCACCAGTGTTGTTATAAGGGCTTCAGAAGGAGATTTAATCCTTGGCACTATGACGAGAGAGGCGGGGACTAGAGTGATGGAGCCGCAAGTCAGGGGGTCCTAGCAGCTTGACTTTGAACCTCAACTGGAAGCAGAAAGAGTCAAGAAACAGATTCCTCGGCATCTCCTATAGAGCCTTTGGAGGAAGCAAGGCTCTGCCCACAGATCGATTTCAGTCCAATAAAGCTGATTTTTGGAGTTTTGGCCTCCAGAACTATGAGAAACTAAATCTCCATTGTTTTAAAATACTAAGTTTCAGATGATTCATTGCAGCAGGCAAAAGACACAAACACAGCAGGGACGCATGAGACCAGGCCTCCAAATGACTAGGGGTGGTTTCGTGCTTTGCCCTACAAACCTACCTCTTTGCAGGGCCCTACTCCCTCCCTCTCAGAATCCACCATCAGCCTTATTCTGATTATTTCACACCAGACTCTGTCATCCCTTCACATTTCTGCCTGGCTTACCTTTGAAAGGCCACCTTTGTTTATGTCAGCTATTAAGCTATCCACAATGCTTGATTCCCTTATGCAATTCAAGCTTTCTTCACAGCACTTACTGCTACCTGGAGGGGAAGAGTGTGTGTGTGTGTGTGTGTGTGTGTGTGTGTGTGTGTGTGTGTAAGAGAGAGAGTGTGTATGTGTGTGTTTTTAAATGGAAAAGGCTAGGGGAGCTCTGGTGGCCTAGTTGCAAGAAGCTGCACTGCATTCCCAAAGATAAGAGGTTCAAACCCACCCGATGCTCTGCTGCAGAAGGAGGGGAAATCTCCTCCTGTACCAGTCAGATCCGATTTGAGGTACACACACACACGCGTGCGCGCGCGCACACACACACAAATAATTAAACCCCCCCCCCCAAAAAAAGAAAAGGCTATGCCAAACACATAAATGTGTCTATAGGGGTGTGTTGGAGAGGTTGGAAGACATAGAGGCATGAAAAAGCTCATTGCCATTGAGTTGGAACCACCTCATAGCTGACTTTCCAATGACTTTTCAGAGACTTGAAGTTGCCTGGGAGGAGATTGCCCATTCCGTCTTTCTCCTGAGTGGTAGCTGGTGGATTCAAACTGCCCACCTTTGGGTTAACAGTACCACTCCACTAAGAAACCAGAGTTCATATCAATGAATGCATTCAGGACGATGAGTGTGTGGTGTTTGTGTTTAATTCTTTGATTATTAGCTGTTGAATCAGCTGTCCCCACTAGAATTGAGGCTTCCTGATACCAGAGATCTGACCTGTTATTATTGTAGCTTCTTTTCAAAACGTGATTGGGGGGCTGACTATGTGCCAGGCGCATTCCCAGTGTGCTGAGAATGATGCAGGAAAGCCCAGTCTTTCAGAGGTTCCATCTCTCTGGCAAACACAAACAGTGGCCAAGTAAACAGTGCTGAGCTGCAGGGAGAGGGGAGTGGAGGATGCTGGAGAGGGCAGGCAAAGCTAGGATGTGGTCAGAAGAGGTCTCCTTGAAATATGAGCTGAGGCCTAGAGGAAGTTACAAAGGGAACTTTCCAGGCGGGACTCTGTGGACACCGGAAGCTGTAAGTGTAAAGGACCTGGAGCAGGAGGGTTCTGAAGATGGTGCTGAAGTAGCAAGTGCTGGTGGCCTAATGGTAAGAAGCTGCCCTACAGCCTCAAAGGTATGCCTCTTACAAGCTGTTCTGTAGAAAGATGGGCGGCCCCCTCCGTGAGGTTTACAGCCTTTGAAAACCTGCTGGAGGGTCAGCTGTTGGTCGGTTCCGACTTGGTAACACACAACAAAAAGAAGCCAAAATCTCTGCATGAGTGTGTCTATTTGTAATTGTTGTTATGTGCTGTCTAGTTGGAACCAATGCATGGCTGTTTCCAGTGATTTTTCAGAGGCTGTAAATCACATGAAAGGAGATTGTCCATTTTTCTCATGAGGAGCCGCTGGTGGATTCTAGTCACTGTCTTTGCATTGGTAGCACAACTCCTTACCCTCTAGGCTACTAGAGTTGCTGCTGTTGTTGTTGTTGATGATGATATTGTTGTTGTGTACCATCGGGTTGGAACCGACCCATAGCTGACCCTCTGGCAGGTTTTCAGAGGCAGTTAATTGCACAGGAGGAGACTGTCCATCCTTCTCCCACAGAACAGCTGGTAGATTCAAACCATGTGCCTTTGGAACTGCAGTGCAGCCTCTTATGACTAGGTCAGCTTCGGGTCTGTTCTGACTCAACGATACTTAAAAACAGCAATAAGCTTTAATCTGTCCTTGTTCTTGGGCTTTGAGGACCCCGTCTCAGCTAGAGATCTAACGTGTCTGAGCCTGAGGACAAGAAAGAGCCAACTCCATTCTATAGTTAGTTATCTACTGTTGAGTTAGAATCAACCCAGTGGGTTTTCAAAAGCAGTAAATTGTGCAAGAGGAGATTGCCCATTTTTCTCCTGCAGAGCAGCTGGTAGATTCGAACTGTGTGCCTTCCAGCATGCAGCGCAGCTCCTTACCACCGGGCCACCACTCTATGGAGAACCCTACATCTCGACTAAGCTTTTTGTGTTTCAACATCATTGTGCCAACACACACTGCCACCAGGACAACTTCTGTTGCCTCTCATATCGTGATACAGTCAGACTAGTAAAAATGTTGGCCAACTGGATGGATGGAAGAGTACATCACTGCATGTGCCATTGAGTGTCACTGCTGACTGATGTAGCTAAAAATCTTTCCACACACAGGTGGGTGGCATTGATATTTTATTGTCATTCATTGGTTTGTGGCATTTACATAAAGAAAGAGAAATAGTGCTACCTTTGTGGAAGTGGTGACGGGAGGGAAGGGTGAGAGGTATGAGCTTCTTCCGTATACAGGAGTTTCAGGAAGGTCTGAGCATCAGATGAGGAATCAGTATGTTCCTCCTCCC